CCTTCTCCAATTCAGGTGTTTGTATAGGGTTTAAATCCAATGATATCATAGGTACAGGCAGGGGAATTTCAGACATTTCTAAAGTACGTGCAATAATTAAATGAATCAAGTATTACAACAGTGAAGTCAAGACTTAGTACTTTTTAGGTCTCTGTGTTACCAAAGTAGTAACTAAAAAGTAATTAGATTATGTATGCGGATTTTAATCTAGCAAGTATTATTTCTTTAAACTCAATCATAGTGTATGAGCAGTTCATCATATTATAGCAGCTTTAAAATTTAATTAGTCCGGTAAATAATCGGCTCTAGTCGCAAAAAGTAACTTATCGGTCCGCCGTTTGAAAGTTACGTTGTTTACTGTCCACCCAGTAAGGCTAGTAGAACAGTGCGCTACTTACGCGAGAGCGAAATGAAGCGCGAGATATTGCCAATTCTCGCATAGAAATCTGTGCTTTATGTCGCTTTCGCGCAAGTCGCGCCCAGTCGTGCTAGCCCTACTCAGACATTTTCAACAGGTACGGTTTTTTCAGGTAAAATCCTAATTTTGGTGACAACTTTTAATTTTGTGTTTTACGTACATATTATGGGTTGGTACTATATTACAAATTAATTCCAAAACGAATATCTAACGGGCGGCCCTTCTAAATAACCAGTCGTTTTAAAGATATGTATATGGAAATGAAATTTTATTTGATCACCAAAATTAAACATTTTCAACAAAATTAGTACATTGGAGAAAAAAAAACAAAAGCAGAGCCGACCCTATCATCTGTAGACCTATCTCAGTCATTACCATTCTTTGCAAGACTGTGGAACTTGTACTCACCAACCGTTGCCTGTCGTGACTTGTAGATTAGTTAGTGATTGTCTAAACGGAATCCGGCGAGGGCCTAACCTGAAATTAGGGCGATGCCAATCTTGTCAAAACGCTACCAAAACACAGGCGTGTCCATTCTTTTGTGGAGAAACGGAGTTCCTTTGGCCTGACTCCGACTTTTCGTTACATATACCGAAAGCCGACTATCTCTAGCTACTTAGGATGAACCTGTCCTCCAATTTGAACTTCAGCACATACATAGACTCAGGACTTTCCAGAGTGAGGCGTTACGTTGCACCGGGACAGTTGCTTCAACTGTACCAAGCACAAGTCCGTTCGTGTATGGAGTACTACATGTTGTGGATATGCCAAAGATTCGCATGAAGCGTTACGCTTCCAGATTTATATGGCAAACGGCTATGGAGTGAAATTCCCTGTTTGTAGACTTATTCCCTGAATAACTTGGGCTTTTTCAAGGCGAGAGTGAATAGGCAATATTTAGGTGTGCTTGCTCCATAGTCACTGTTCACCAGGTGAGACAAAGGTCAAATGCGCACTTACATTTTGTATAGAAAAAGTCATTATTATGCATGATTAAAAATATTTTTACCGACACAGAAAATTTACAAATTAAATGAACTTTAATTTGTTTTCCAACATTATGGATTTGTAACCAATAACAGTGTTATTAAGACATAAAATACTACTTACTTTCTAATTTTGGTGAACACAGATAAACCACCAAAATTGTGTCACCAAAACTGGAAAATTAGCAAAGTTATTTAAAAAAAAACACTACTTAATTTAAGCCAACATTAACTAGGTATAGCATATCAAAGGTACCCAAAATCAACATTCAAAATGCACACATCATTATTTGAAACCTTATTTGTTTCCTCGGTAAAATGATCACAAAAATTGTTCAGTTTTGGCCCCCATGTCACCAAAGTCAAAGCCAAAGTCAAAGATGATTTATTCCATAGGTAAAATAAATTTACACTTGAAAACGTCACATTTATGCTACTCCTCGTTCACTGCGCTGACCTCCCTGAGAAGAACGAACAAGAAACTCTAGGGATTGCTCTTTTTGAAGTTTACTGTCTAAGGTCACTCCCAAGAAGCCTGTTTTATTAACAAGGTCTAACTTTTCTCCGTTTATTTCTATGCTTGGACTAGTCGATTTTACGTTAGGTAATTCAAATTTAACACATTTTGTCTTCTTGGCATTAAGCAATAAATTGTTAGCATTAAACCAATAAACTACCTTAGAGAGGGTATCATTAATATGGTCATAGTTAATGTCACGTCTGTCTGTTTTAAAAAGCAAGGATGTGTCATCAGCAAATAACACTATTGCGCAATGGTCCTTAACAAAGAATGGCAGATCAGTAATATAAATCTGAAATAAGAAAGGTCCAAGTATTGAGCCCTGCGGAACACCCATTTTTACCGGAGAACCTAAAGAAATCACTCCATTTATGTCTACTTTCTGAATTCTACCGTTGAGATATGACGAGACAAGTTTCGACCCCTTGCCATTTACATCGTAATGTTTCAGCTTCCTAATAAGAGTAATATGATCAACGCAATCAAGTGCCTTTGAGAGGTCACAGAAAACACCAATAGCGTTCTGGGACCTTTCCCAAGCATCAAAGATGTGGTTTAGTAACGCTACCCCCGCATCGCTAGTCGATCTACCACTAGTAAACTCGTATTGTTCACTATGAAAAATATGATTCCTACCGAAATAGGACAGTAAGTGAGTCAGCATAACCTTTTCGAATATTTTACTTAAAGCTGATAAAATTGAAACGGGCCTAAAGTTGCTAGGATCAACTTTCCTACCGCTTTTGAATAAGGGAATAACCTTGCTGTATTTCATTAAATCGGGAAAAACACCTTCGTCAACGCACCTATTGAAAGCTACAGCTAAATGTGGGGAAATTAGATCAATAACTGAGTCTATAACTTTAGTTGTATGCCCCAGAGATCTTCAGTTTTTTTAACATGTATTGATTTAGAAGCTTTTATAACGTCTTGTGGATTAACATGACGGAAATTAAATAAACTGCCACAAACGTTAACATTTTCCTTTAGGAGATCAATAGCAAGTGAAGGGGAGGAATTTAATGATTCTGTAGTGTTCACAGCAATTTCCGAAAAGAACGATTCAAAAGCTTGGGCTACTTTATCTTTCCATTTTTTAAGTTTGCTGTCTAATTCTAAAACTATATCTCTATCGTGTTGTTTAACACTGCCTGACTCTTTATTTACTATGCTCCAAGTAGTTTTAGATTTATTTATCGATTGTCTAATTTTGTCGCTGTGGAACTTAACCTTAGCATCTACACATACTTTCTTAAATATTTTTGAATAAATTCTAACGTATTCTATGAAATTGGAATTAGTATTATAAGTTTTCATAGCATATAGCTCATACAAACGAGACCTATTGTTATGAATACCTACTGTTGCCCAGTCGTTGAATTTAGTATCTCAATGGAAAGTTAATGTTTTCGATTTAAATATAGGTATTATCAAATTCATTTTTAATTAAAACCAAATATCATGCTATATAAAGTGTTTGGAACCTCCGATATATGGGGTAGGGAATTTAAACTATTGCCGATATTATTTTGAAATCTAATGATTCGTTCTGTGGTAATCGGTCTGCAGAGAAATTGATCTACCTTCTTGCTCATTTTACAATTAAAAGAAGCCAACTGGCCACTATGGTCTGATCTTAAGCAATTTATTATTGATTTAGACACTGCGTCTGTGTTACAAAAGATGTCATCAATACAAATAGAAGAGGCAGTGATGCGAGTTGGTTCTAAGAAAAGATTAATCAAGATAAAACTTTTAAATAAATTAATGAGTCTTACAGAAGTAGAACAGTTTTCCAACAGGTTTACATTGAAATCTCCACATATTACGTTTTTTTTTATTGGAAAAATCCGCTTTAAACTGTCTTCCATAATTAATTCAAACTCGTTAAAATTAGCAGAGGGGGCCTATATACACATAAGACGACAAACTGATCCAATTCCACACATGAAATCTCAATAGTTCGTTCAGTAGAAAGATCTGTGATATCATTACGCTCTTTAAATTTTAAGTTACGTTTAATAATAATCATGGATCCGCCTCTCCTTAAGCTCTTTCTTATGATATTACTTTATATTAGACCATTTAATTAATCATTTATTTGATTATGGACAGTAATATGCACTGAGAATACGGGTGTACCAGTATTTTTTCAATATATGGTTTGATTTTTTTCAATCATGAAAATAAGTTTCAGTCACAGGTTGTAGACGCGTCACCAAAATTAGAAATCAGTAATAAAAAAAAATTATAAATTAAATACTATAACGTCATCGTAAGAATTTTTCTTTAGTGGCTCCGGGTGGAGATTTAGGTATACTTGACTACAAAAAATATTACATATCTATTTTGGCAACTTACACTACGACTTTCGACCACGCCGCGCAAAAACCACGGCTGGCAAAAATCACAGTACTTACGACTTATTATGTAAATGTAAATATATGTAAATGTAAATATATGTCAATTTTAGAAACTCGATTATGTTATGTTATTGATTTTTAAAGAATATCATGATGTTTTACTATCATGATATTCATTTTTCTTTTTTTTATAGTTTGCTAATTATTATTTATTTATAAGTATGTTGGTCTGCCACGCAGAGGTACCGGCCGGGAAAAATATTTGTACGGCCTGGACGGCCTACATTTATTTCTCTTCTTGGACTTGTAATTTGCGATCGTCTATATATGTGTGTGTGTCTACGGCACCCGCGACACAGGGTTTCCCTAGTGCGGGACTATGAGTGAGTTAAAAAAATATAGGTATTAGTCACTTTACTCCAGGTGACGCTGGAATACGCATATAGCACACACTAAGCACATAAAGGTACAATGTTATACAATTGGATAAAAGTTGAGTAACTTAACTCTCACTGGTCACTCACCAGAGGTTTGCGGACGCAATCATATTAAGTTTACAATTCCGTAATTATCTATAAAGGATTTCAAAAAGGACAAACTCCCTAACATGTTACAAGGTAATTGAATGAGGATGGAACATATTTACAGATGGTAGGGAGGAATTATGTGCAATATATTGCATAATGAATAAAAAAATATATTCTATTTATTCTCTGCTGATTTAATAGTTTGTGAGGTAATTACAAATGACTAGCCTTAATTAAGCATAAATTAAAGTACTCTCTAATCACAAAAATTAATTAAAGATGGAAATGCATGTCAATTATCAAATTCAGTGTGTATATTTTTGAAAATATTTTCTCTGTAATACTTAAGTTCCTCTATACTCTCCTTTATATCATCAATAGCTCTATGCTTAAAAGTCTTCTGAGGTACTCTTGAATATTCACTGGAGTACCATCTTTTGGCCAACTCCTTTAATGTACTTACATCTATAATTCTATAATGTAAATAGTTATTAAGTCTTGGCATATATTTCATGATAAATAATCTGTCCATGTAAACACTGTTGCCTCCTAGAGGACACCTCTTTTCCGGCACGTGAGCTTTTACAAAGTTGAGAATTTGTTCCTCAGCATCTTTAACTGTTATTTTTGAATTTCTGCTAGCCATGGTCAACCCACTCTGAAATTAGAATAATAATACTATAGGTAAATATTGTTTATACAACCACTAGACTTAGACAATAGATAGGCTGACAAAGCTCATTCTACTACAGTAGAGAAACTCTGTCACTGGAAAGGAATGGCATCAGAGTGCCGACTAGACACTTAAAAGGGCATTATGACTTGACGAAGTACATCCAATACCAATACTGTCAATAGTGTTAGAAGAATAGGAGAGGGTGTGGTTTTTCTGTTTCTAATGAAGCAATAAACAATTTTGACATATCTTTACTTATGCCATTCTTCCATGAGGGCTGCAACTGTCAAAAATTGAGCAGAGAGAAAATAGTGAGTGTATAATAGATTCAGCCATGTGGGGGGTGAAACTCCTCTGCATTTCCTCAACCAGTGCTACCCTCTAATAGGCGTATGTAGTTTCAAACAAACAAAACTGACAGAACTAGGAAAGTCCTTCAGTTCTTCAATGCTGTTGGCCTTGGCCCTGAACTGTAATTAGTGGTGATTACAATAGATGAGTTAATGGTCATAGTGATGAGGGACTGCATAGACCCTAAATAAAGCCGCCCTATTAATCATAATGAATAAATATTGTACAAAACCCCGTACCTCACCATGTTGATTGATGCACCACTCACACATATTATTAAGAACATCGTCAGGCTGATGAATAATCAAATTCGGTCCTGTTGCTACAATATTCAGCTGTGAGTCTGACACCAGACATGCTATCTCTAGAATATGGTCTTTATCTATGTCCAAACCAGTCATCTCCATATCCAGCCAGACTATTCGCTTAGCGCCTGTATGAGCTTTTGAATTCATAGCTGACATCAAACAATTATCTGTAAATTTTTTTACTTCTTCATTTCATCTTAGTGTTCAATATTCTGCCTGTGTTATCAATCTACAATGATAACGAATGCCCCGCATATTGACTGAAACGAAACTGGCTACATGGTGTCATCGGTGTCGATGTTAGCAGTCAGTGTCGCTGAAAAAATGCAACTTGTACTTGAAATGTTATATTTATTTCTTTTCATTTTTATCGTTATTATAACACAAAGAAGACTCACACCCACACCGCTGCCGTCGTAGTGAAGGGAGGAACGCGTGAGTACTTCTATATCATTTTAGCCAGGATAGCACAGGCAAAAAATTACTAGCGCCCTAAATATCGATTCGATTGTACGCAGTTACTATAACATTGAAAAGCGCGTTGGTTGTACGCTTCAACATCAGCTTAACCTTCAAAAAGCATGGCTACAAACATTACCTTCGTGAAATTATACTTTAAATATAGGTTATACACTAAAAATATCAAATTAAATAATACTTACTTGCCGGCCAAACGACAGTTTTAGCCAAATAATTACTATTGATACTGAAATAACGCCGAAGTACATTCATCTAAATAGGACCATGTATTTCCAAAAGCCGCGTTACTTGATCGTCGGTTCGCGCCACTGAAGGTTCGCGCACAAACTAGAGATGTTTCACTAGAGATGTGATTAACTGCTATATACGCATAGCACGCTAAAAGCTAAATTTTTATAGCGCGCTATTTAAAGTGCTAAAATTATAATTTTTAGCAACTCAAGGTCGTGTGATATTGTAACGAACGGAAAGAAACCTGAAATAGTTGACGTGCGCTAACATAGAATAGTTTACAGTTTTTTATGGTTAGTTACGACCGACTTCATTTGTTTTGTAACTATTACATACGTGTTACAGGTTATAGACGATAAATCAATAAGCATCTCTTCATATTTTAACAATTTACTGTTTACAATTTGCACAAAACTTTACACTGGTTATTTACAGTAAATTACACTCATAATAATTAATAATAACGCACACACTCGTACTTCTATATACAATATTACAAGACTTATTAATTAAACAAACGGTAAACTAACTAAATAAATCCAAGTACTTAATTATATGTTAATTTAAATCGCTTCACCAGACGAAATTTTGCTAACGTTCCACCATTAGCTCAAAATCGTAATAAAACGTCACAAAAATTATAATTTACAACATAACTACAATTATAATACTTGCTAAGTGCTAAATATAGCATTAGAGCTCAAACGTAAAATTTAACATCAATAAACCAATCAGCTATTTCGCGTTTCGCACCAAACGTTAAATGCTACAAATAATATGTGAAAGTATTTCACATTAAAATTGTTGTAACCAATGACAAAAGCCGCAATTTTCACAGAGAATATAGTGCCATCTATGAAATATTAAGGGAGATAACTCAGGACGAAGAAGGATTAAACGACGATTTTATTTTATGCACTAGAGCATAAAATCCTATTTTATGCAGCCTACACGCAGCATAAATACGAACTTTAAGAGCATGAGAAGATGAAACATAAATATTGACTACCGCCGCTTAAAAGACTATGTAAAAAACCCGAATAAGTGAACTAAGTTATTTAAGAGAATTAAAACAATCTATTAGAACTACAATGGAAAATATTACTGATTCCGATAATGAAATGAAGACATGGCTCAAAAGACTTTTATCTAAGCCAAAACCATTAATAAAAAAAGAGACGAATAAATAGTGTTGCCACTTTGCCCAAGAAGGAAGTATTTAAACCTAAGTAAAAAAAGTTGTTAAATTCCAAGAAATTAAATCTGGGTAAAATTGCCTAAAGTGGCTGAACAAAAACGTAATTATGAGATTGCGTTTTCAAATACATATTTTTCTTAAATTTACAAATTATAAATCGAAAAATTATTTATCATCAATATCAATCAAATTATTATCATCTTGTGATATTGAAGGTTAAGCTTTGTTTTCGTTTTTTTACAATTTTTTACTTTTCTTATTAAAAGAGCTCAAATATTTGGCTATCAAATACTTTGTTTTGTGCCTAATAATTTCGTAAATCTGAATAAAGCTATATAGCTAAAAACTGGCTACGTTGGCAACACTGGGAATAACTTTTACTGTTTATAATGCTCACTTCATAAGGAACAATATTATTAAAATTTAGATTATTATTTATCCCCTTGTCATTATTTTCAGCTATTACCATCTCATTTTCATTTCATAATTTCCATCCTTTATTGTTTAGATTTACCTATAATATACTACCTACCCTATCCTGTTGGTCACCGTACCAAAATTCCGTTTGTTTTTATTTTTATTAGTTTATTATTATTATTAGTTTATTATTATTAATATCCAGACCCCACATCAAAGTTCCACAACAACAACAACTGCGACGACAATGATATCCTGTCTCAAGAAGGAAGAAAGTATTGGAAGAATTATCAAAAATTGGCAACTCAATCGCGAAATTGTAACTCCTTAGAACAATAACTAAAACACTGAGACCGTCATACGGTATATGAATATACTAAGCGATAATATACATTACAATTTATGGTATGTATTATTGCAGCCACTTTACACTGCCAAATTAAATAACTGTTACGCTCCTAGTGATGAAACGGAAACAGGTGTCAAAAGTAAATCTTAGCAGAAACGGAAACGGAGGCAGATGCGGAAGCGGAAGCGTAAATACTAATGACCTTAACGAAATACTTCCATACGAGACTAGTTGTTTAGTTTCATTAATTATACAAAACTACCAAGACCCACGCGCCTCACCGCCAAGCAATACGCGCGCACGTATGATCCATTATAAACATTATAAACTTCCGATAAAAAGTCCGTTATAAAAGTTGCGGAAACAGAAACGGATACAAATGTGAAAAAGCGTGCGGAATTTCGGCAGTTGCGGAAGGGGAAACAAGGGTCGTTGCAGCGGTAATCGCCACCACCACGCTAGTCGACAATGAAAACAGCTGCCCAGAGTAATTACAGTAATTAGGTTGTTGACGACTTATCCAGTTTTGAGGGTTATTTTTGACGTTTGCTCTCGACATAAACCATATTGCTACGATACGATTTTTGGGGAATAAAACTATAATTACTAAAGATTTTATCTAATTTATCAGTTGGCCGATGACAGTGATATTGCAATTACAATGTATATCAAGGTTTACGTCTCGAGACAATTGGCATGTAAAGTAATCTACACTCAGCAAAACAAGCTGAGATTAATAAATCACCCAAAAATCTTCAATGGGTAGTATTCTTTATTTTAACTAATAATAAATGTTACTTTTCTACGATCAAAACCTAAGTAATCCAATTTACCTACAATAATCTATAACAAATATTGTTATTATATATCTTTAAACCGCTCTATTCTTGTGTCCCGATTAATTGACAGACTAAATGAATAAAATTATTTTACGATTTTATTATAAATAACGTGAGACTACCAGTCGTTTCGTGTAAAAATACTCTTAGCCATTGCCAACTAGTTTCATGTTTCCAATCATCATCGAATCGGGAATATTTTTAATCTGTTAAGTTGTTGTACTTAGCCGTTGTCGTTCGTACCTGTGTTGCCATATCAGGCGCTTTTTCGCCATTTACGCTACTTCGAGGGGTCGCGCGGCGACTAAAAAAGTGATCGGCGACTCGGCGATATTTATGTTATATTTGAAATAGGAAAAGGCGATTTTAGGCTACTTAATAAAATGTCTGGGGAATTACAAATTTGATTGGGGATTTTGTAAGGAATGGAGTTGTAAAATAACTCATTTGGGGGTTTGAGTATTTCTACTTGTGGGGAATTAGGGAAATAAGAGAGTTCATATATATTCCCCTATATTCGGCAGCAAGCAGAATTGTAGAATTGTTTTCCTTGATTTTTAGGGATTTTATGGCTTGGGCGAATATCGACTACTTAACACACATAAATTGGCGAATTAACTTCGCAAAAGTTTGGCAACCCTGGTTCGTTTTGTCATGTCTGTCTGTCATGGTGTGAGAAGGTTGATTTTGTTTTCGTAAATTTTTTACCGTTTTTTTCGGGATAGAGAACCATTGTAACATTCAAGATGAACAGATTAATACTGAATAATTATCGGTGTATAAAAAAATCAAGTAAGTGCTTTAATGTTTCTGTAAACATTTCATATTTCTAACCCCTAGAATCGACGATCTTTGATTGATTATTTCATGACTTCATCGTGAAAATTATTTATGTAACGGTGTTTATAATAACCGATATGCTTGGTTGATCGTAATCACACAAATGTGAATGTGAAAGTGAACCTGTGGCGCTGTGCCCCTTTGTTTATAATACCACGATCATCACATGGTTGATGTAACTTGCCGAATGTTTATTGCAATAACCAGAAATAGTTATGTTTAACCACTCACATTATATTTCCCTGGAATTAGTTTCTTACCTACAAAACTTGCCTTGGATTTTATGCACTTACTTGACATTATTAAACATTTTTACCTGTTCAATATTCCTTAGTGTAACTAAAATTGCACACTAATACCGTGAAATTGAGTGCCTTGTTTTCAGAAACTAGGCAGTCAGTTCCATTTTTATTATTATAATCTATATTTTCTTTCTATTCTAGCCTTGCTGTGGGAGACCAAACAATATCAAAATTTTCCATACATAGCCCTGTCAAGGTCATTATCGTACTACACAGCTCAGCCTGTCGGACTACGCCATGATATCACTCAGAAGCCTTTCTACAATTACACATTATACAACCAGGCCCATTTCAGAGTTTTTTCAACAAGCCAATATTTCAATGACAAACAACCTCTTAAACCATCGTCAAAAGTTGAAGCCGCTGTTGAAACCATCAAGAAGGATATAGAGGAAAAAGAAAAGGGTGTGAAAAAAGTAGTACAGAAGAAGAGTTTAAAGGAAAGAATCATGGACGAGCTTAGACATTACTACCATGGCTTTAGACTATTTGTCCTTGAAATAAGGATATCCATCCCTCTTCTATTTAAAATATTGAGAGGAGTGTCTTTAACACGTAGGGAGCACAAACTGTTGGTGACCACTATAGGTGATATATTCAGGATGGTACCATTTATAATCTTCATTATTGTCCCATTTTTGGAGTTTACTCTTCCAATTTTTATTAAACTGTTTCCAAACATGTTACCATCCACTTTTGAGAGCAAAGATCAAAAGGATGCTAAACTCAAGCAACATTTAAAAGTGAAACTTGAAATGGCAAAGTTTTTCCAAGAGACTTTGGACCAAATGGCTCCTCAAGCAAGTAATAGACATTCACAACTTGCTAAGGAGTTTTCACAGTTCTTTAATAAAATAAGGACGTCGGGAGATGTTGCAACTAGTGAGGAGATTATGAAGTTCTCCAAGTTGTTTGAGGATGACATTACCTTGGATTCTTTACAGAGACCGCATTTGATTGCACTGTGTAGAGTACTGAATACATCATCTATTGGTACAAGTGCTATGTTACGGTTTAATTTGAAGATGAAACTTCGATCCTTGAAAGCAGATGACAAGACGATAGCAAAAGAGGGTGTAGATAGTTTAAACGTCAGTGAGTTGCAGCAGGCATGCAAGAATCGCGGTATGAGGGCATATGGTGTGTCTGAGGAGCGAATGAGGAAGGAACTGAGGAATTGGTTGGATTTATCACTAAACGAGAAAGTGCCACCCTCACTACTGCTACTCTCACGAGCGCTTATGGTGCCGGACCATGTTCCTACAACCTACAAACTCAAGGCGACTATATCTGCTTTGCCTGAACAAGTTGCTACACAGACAAAGGCTGCTATTGGAGAGTTAGAAGGCAAACTTGATTTCAAGGTATGATTGCACTCTTTTACATTATTATTATTAGTGCTGGCTTCATTATGGATCTATGTAACTCGCGTATCACGGGAACCGCTAATTGATTGATGAGCCAAGACCAACAGTGTTAAAAAACTGAAGGATTCTCCTGGCTTCAACTGTTTTGATGTCCTCTGGTTTGGCCTGTGCCTTCCGAGTATGGAGTTTCCACGCCCATCAAGGGGCAGCATTGGGTAAGGAGCTGCATAGTATTTTCTTCTGCCTCATAGCAGAATCTACACCCTCTACGCACTCTCTCTGCCCAAGATTGGACAAGTGCCTATTCAAGCCACAGTGCCCTAGTAAAGTTCTAATCGTTCTGATACCATTTCTGCCTAGTGCATTCTCTACAGAGTTTAATACTGTAAGCAGTTATCAGCACCTTTGGATGTTCAAGACCATTGACCACTATGCAATTAAGTAAAAAGGTCATTAGTATCACAAATGTTCATTTTCTATATCTACTGACTGCTACTGTTACTTATTTAGGGTACACTAATTGATATTTTGTATTCAGGAGGATGTATGAATTCAATGACAAGATGATAACCACCTAGTGTAGACATAGTATGATGGGTATTACTTACTTTTCCTGTTTAACTGCAAGACTGACCTTTAATAGACACACATTATGGAACTAAAATATTAATGGTTTATAACAATTCATCTGTTTTGAATTTGTATGTGTACTACAATGTGAAAATGTATGAAATAATTTCCAGGCTAAAGCTGATGTGATCAAACTTGAACAAGAGAAGATCAAGGAAGAGAAGAAAGAGATGCAAGAAGCCGAAAGGGAGAAGCAGTTACTCGAAGCTAAGCTACGAGAAAAAGAGGAACTGAAAGACAAAGCTCCTATCTTCGATGATGTCCCTCTGATGGCAGACCCTGCCCCTGTCCTGACAACAGATACACCGAAGCCCAAAACTGAAGATGGCCTATCAGGAAAGGACATTGAAGTTATTGAGGATGCTTTAGAAAAATTGGGTAAGATTTTGTTGCTTAACCACAGAAATAATACTACAGAATCTCTTGCATTAAATTTGTACACGTTTTGTTCACTGTAATTGAGAAATAATATATTTCTCTTGTTTATATAAATGTATGTATTTTCTCATTCTTTAAATGTAAAAAGTGTAGGCAATATTCTAAGATTTAAAAAATTAACTCATGGTCAATGCCCTTTAAAATCAAAGTGATAGCGTCACTTATTTAGCTACATTAGGTGACGTGTTTTACAAAAAATTATGTAGAAATGACACTGACATCGTTGACAAACGCGCCGGCTCAGCGTCTGGCACGACTGCTGCTCTTACGTTATAGAAATTGGCACCAATCCATCTTTACATTTCACTTCAGTCCATCTAAAGTTCAAGATCATCCATTCAAGGTAACTTGAAGTTTGCTGACCTGTACTGGGCCTACTGTGCCGTCTGCATGGTCGACTGTAACCTGGCACTTACTTTTATCTGTTAGACGTGCAAGGGTTAATTCATAGCATAGACTCAAACTTTTGTCATGTAGACCACATGCCAATATTTTCTGTTTTGCATAAACCCCCTGCCTGTTTAATATGGATATTTTTTTTACAAAAACATCAATTCCAAATGTTTTTTTTTACAGCTGACAGTGCTACCACAGATTACCTAATATTTACTCACTTACTCTTACGCTTACTCACTTTGTTTAATTGTATAGCGAGAACTTTAAAAAAACTCATGTTAAGTTTACATTTAAAAACTCAGGTTAAGTTTACCATTATCTAACTTTGTTTGTTGTGAAATGTTTAAATAATAAATATTACACAACATCACACATTGCACTTGTGTTATAGAAATTGGATACAACATAAATATTACATCATAGGCAATGTATGTGTCTATAAAAAGTATTATGTGACTGTATACATATATGTACTATCACTGTAATGTGATTAATTCCATTTAGGCATAGTCAAAATTTTGGTCACCACTTGCTTGAACAAACCCACTTTTGTGGAACCCCAATCCCATTAACGTTGCATGCATGCACTTTTCTTTTTCACTGCCATGGGCATCTTGTTTGCAAGAGTGGACTGCTGGGGGATGTTGTAGACCACTTTCAAAACACAATTCTAGTACCAGTAGAGCTCCTCATAAAAGAGTTCGTTCAGAGAAGTACTGTCCACTTGCTTATTTCTGCTGCCAAACAGTTATATAAACATTACTGCTTTCCGGTTTTTAAGAGTAAGGTGCTGGTGAAATTATAGGCACATGGGACTTGTCAACTTATGTCTCAAGGTGATGCATGTGGTGACAGAGCCCCTCAAATCTTTGCGATTTGACGCTCTGAGTGGTATTGCAACTGTCCTGGACAGGCGTGTCGCTTGCCACCAGGCGCACGACTTTTTCGTTCCGTCACTTGGTTTCATTAAATAAAATAAAAAATTCATATAAATCAAAATCATTTTTTACTTTCCCGTTTAAGGTTTTGATTACAAATAAAATTGTACAGTGAGACAAATAAAGAATCATCATTTTGTTGCCTTTAGGAACTACACTAAAATAGATCACTTTATCCAATACATTGATAAGCTTATCTTGTATCTTATATATCAATGTATGTACACAATATCTATCAAACAGAAATAAAACGATTTTTACACCACTAGCTTAACTAAAATGTAATAATGATAAAAACAGTTCCAGATTTAAAAGCTGTATATAGCTTCACGTTAAAATCATAATTATACTAAAATATAAATGCAGCAATATTCGCAAAGGTACTGTTAACATCTCTATTGGTACACTGCCTATCATAGGGCAGAATATATCTCTGTAACTAATCAACAAGCAACTAATCGCCTTATGTATTTTTTCTTTAATTAATTATAATGGTATTGTAGAAGAGGTACCTGCACAGTATTATTATATGTACAATTCAGCTAAATTAATGCATGAAGCATAATTGTAATAGTGTTTGCCTATCATGATAATTAATTCAAGGTCAAAGGCTATGAATAATACAAGTGTGCATCAAGGCCTTAAATGTTACACAAAAACGTAATTATTTTCTTCAGGTAATATAGTTTAATAACTGTGGTGCCTTCAGAGTTCATATTGTTACTATTATACCAAATATGAGTACCCCTCATGTCTGGTGTTATTGCCTGAAATATTATTTTTATTATTCTAAGGTGAATTGGCGTTTTATGAACTTTTTTAATTTAAGTTGACCTAACATTTGTGTACAATCCTACCTGATGGAATTGTTTTGTTAGATTGACGGGAATTTTGATTTTTGAATATTGATTAAAGTATTGTAACGCTTGTAAAGTTAATGCGAAAGACAGAAACAATACATTATTTTTGGCATTTAATAGAGCAGCGCCATGATAATTATTATTTGAAGTGTAATTTGCTTACATTTGATAATAAGCGAGTTGAAATTTTAAGTTTAGTACCGGAAATACCGGTTTTAATATAAGTAATAAGTGTAATAACGGTAATTGCGACACCTACAGCTATCGCCTATTATTAAAAAAATAACTTCTTTTACAGCTGAGCAAAAGAAGTCCTTATTGCTAGAGAAGGAGAGTATACAAGAGTTGAAGGCGGAGCTGTCGGAGTATAGCGAAGATGTCGAAGAGATGCAGGAGATTGTCAAGACTAAACAAGCCGATATTAAGCTGACTAAGGGTGCTCGCAGGTATGGTTACATTTATTTCCTTTATTGTCTAGTTTTTAGGTACTGTTCCGGAATTCTTCCTGCAGGTGCTGCTGGCACTGACAGAGCCTACCCTATACAAATACGGGTTGTGTAAGGTCAGGTTGTTATTCGAAACTAAATCTTGTATCAAACCACACATTGGAGATTACTAGCGGAATAGGTGATAAGTGGTATTTATTACTAGCTCTTATTTCAACACGTGGAAAGTTTCCTACGTTTTCTTTTCAGCTCGGTGTGGTTTGTTATCATATTTTTTCTGCAGGAAAGTCTAAATGACCACTAAAAACATACAGAGAATAATGATAAAAAATAATCATATCAGATTATAAACAATGAAAATCTTATTATACTCATTTACTGCACAAATTTTAATGAAAGTCCACAAAAAAGCGGAAGTAAAAATATAATCAGTTACTATCTTACCACGCCAAGCGTCGGTTATGCATTTAGCAACAATATCACATTATCTTATCTCTCGCCAAACATTTATAATGACTTAATGACAAACGATTAGTATGAGATCATACATCTATCAAAGTTAGACTTCGGTTGAACGGCTTATTATGTAGTTTCAACGCAGGTTGATAAGCAACAGCAAAATGTATATCAAATGCAATTTGTTTTTTCTAACGAAGTTCATCTCATCTATAGTACACAGTATCGAAAATTTAGGAGCAAAGAACTTATTGATAATATATTGTCGTCTCAAGAGTGTCAAATTGATACTCTTACATTAGCGTGGCTGTACATTAATATGAAGAAAAAATACAGACTGGCTGTCGTGGCTGTCGTCTTCACTAAGTTGCTAATTAATTTAAGGGGATTGTCTTCTACCGTATACGCTTCTATAATAAGATTCGGGTTGATATGCCGGCGACCCGTTTTCGCGCGAAGACGGCTTTGATATTTGAATATCGTTTTCATTTATTCATTACGAAACTTGTACGTTAATATAAAACATTATTTTACATTACTATTTATAATGGCCGTGAATTGTGCTGTGTACGGCTGTTTATCATCATTTTTCGAAAGATGAAACGAAGTAAGCATAAAAAATGTTGTCTGGGACTATAATTGTAAGTCAATGTCTGGGACTCATTCAGTTATTGTTTTCTTCATTTATTTACTGCAGAGTAATATATGTATGTATAAAAAATACTGATTTATTATATCAATATAATGAGGCGCCATGACGTCGTAGACAAGGGTTCTCGAATTTTCAATTTGTATTGCCGATAAATATTACGTAAGTAGTGAATCTACCTAATTATTAACTAAATAATGATGATCGACTTGGACACCCAATTTCAAATATATTAGTTACCTTATTTAATTAAATGTACATGTCCAAAATATAACATTTTAAGGGCTTTTAAAATATTTTTTAAATAAATCTTCAATATTTCTCTAGTTAGTGAATTAATGAAAAATATGATATTATGTCGATATAAATACATAATAAAAATGTGTAATTATTTGGATTTTGGATTCTATTAGTAGAATCATAGATGACAGATTCGCGTTAGCATTTTCGCTATGTTGCCACTCTGATCACGTAACGTAATAATGCAAGAAAGTTATGGGTATTAGGTATTAATAAAGTTACCCACACATTTGCGCGTGTGCAGATAGCGCCTTGCTGAATGTAGTAGTAATAGGTAAATAATTTTCGACTGTTGTATGGTGTGTCCGGGGTGTGCCTATTGTGGAACAAAATTTTTACACTAAAGGTTATTTATTATACAGCTTCTACTACTAAATGATAAATGTTTATTTCTTATTATTCCTTAATTTGAAGGCAATTATGGTGTAGTCTGGCATATTATTATTATGTATGGATTTCTGTGGTCTCTACAAAAATTCTGTAATTGTGACTTTAGTTTATTTGTACATGAAGTACAGTGAAGCCAAAAGGATGATAATGCTTTCAGGCATATGTATCTTGCCACCGTAACGTTTCCAATAGATCAATGAGGCATAGCTTCGTAAGTAATCATTGTATGTGGCGGGTAACCAATGTATATTTTTGAGTAATTTTTTAAAAGCCAGTTCTAACTTTTATTCAATATTTTGTTTAACTCTAATATTTACCAATAATGTTTTCCAGGTTATACCGCGCAGTGAATAACATGATAAGCAAATTGGATGCGGCCCTTGTCGAACTAGAATCTAAGGAGAAAGCTCTAAAATCCACCTTAGAACAAGCCAGCTCTGAACCACAGAAGGCCAAGGAGAAATTAATCCACATCGACGAATTGATGCATTCCATAAAGAGCCTTCAGAAAGTACCTGACGAGGCTAAACTCAGATTGATTCAAGATGTACTTGGAAGGCTGGATGATGACTTCGATGGTCAACTCAAAATTGATGATGTTTTGAAGGTCAGTAGTTTAATATTTAAATTGGAAAAGGACGGGAAGTGTGTGTATTGTATCATGGAGCAATAATTCAATAGGGCTGCTAACCACCTTTATTGAGGTGGACTGTCTGTCTGTACGTTGTTATATATATAAAAAAATCACATTGGTGTTTACCACATTACAGATATTAGAGATAGTAGGCAACGAACACGTACACCTCTCGGAGAAGCAAATGTCTGAGCTGATTGAGCTGTTGGACAAGGAAGAAATTCTCGAGGTGGAGAGCAAAATTCAAAAGGCGCTGAACAAAGCCGCTTCAGCCGCCAAGGAACAGGACAAGACTAGTGAAACTTCTGGCAAGGTATGTGTAACATTGGGTATTTGTTCATTCGTCTCTGAACAAAGTTGCACAGGATTTCGTCTGACAGGAAAGTCTGAAACAGTCTATCCTTATGTTATTGGTATACTACTAATTACCACGAAGTGCTTTGCTTCCTCTTTATGGTATGGTGTAACGGGTTGGTGTCCGCAACTCGACACTCTTATTGTGCGTGGGTGTTTGCTAAGGGTGCGTGTACACGCTTAAAAATTCGACGTGTGTGCTATAGAAAAGATGAGAATCGTCTTGTACACGACATGAACTTTGTGGGATCTAGCCACGAAAACATGTCGTGTTTATCGCATGTCGTCGTTTTACTACCGACTGTGGGAAGAAATATGTGGTTGTATATGTTGACTACTAAGCAAGACCCGTCACAAGCATTAACGTACATTACGTCCATTTTTAAAAATTTCGGTATGATTAAGCTAGTCAGGGAGATTGATTTTATACAGGTCCATTTATTTTATAACAAATGTCACAGTCATTGAAAAAATCAAAATTATTAAAAACTTTTTCATGTAGATTCAATACAAACCTGTAATTTTAGTTAGTGTTTTTAAATTTTTTTTTAATGTACAACGATAATTTGTGAATTTGTGAACCGATTTGATGATTATTTTTTTGTTGGAAAGAGATAACTTCAGTATTGGTCCCATTTAAATTTGAAGGAAATATTCCACTAAGGGTGGTAAAGTAGGGGATGAACTGGTATCACGCACTTTCCAGTAACCGATTGCAACTATAAAAAACTAAATAATAAAACTACTAACTAAATAATAAAACTTGGCAAATATATGTAATTCCACGAACTTTTCATATTGTTAGTGTCCCAGAAAGTTTGGAATTTAATCACTTTATCAATAAGGGTACGATTTGTTACAATTTCTAAACTATTTCAGAGTTTATTCGACATAATCCGAGAGGCACAGAAGAGGCGGGAAATGAAAAAGGCCGTTGAGAAGTTCGGAGAACAACGACCACTGCCCAAGAGCGAAGACATTGTCGCCAACAAACCAGAAGAGTCTAGTAAACGACCCGACACACATTGATAGATACCTTAGCTAATGTGTAAATAAATATTGACCCTTGTCGGTTCGTCTCTTTAATTCGTTAGCAGTTTACGCTCTTTCTGGTTTGTTAACAAATCGGGAACGTCGGCATGTCGCTGCTGTGTAAAGTACTTCATTATTAATACTACATATACGCATACTTATGTAGACATTACGCTACTACTATAACTTTATAACCCTAATGACAATAAGCATTTTGTAATACTGAATAATCAAACGCGTATAATGTAAATAATACTTATTACGGTCCCGTACAAAGTTGTTTTTTTTTCATTCTTCTGTTGTTTATCCGGTTTTTATTTGAGAGATTTATTATTTATGCATTTCTGTGATCGCTATTCAGTTGTAAGTTTTATTTTTTATTGTTAATATTTGCACAAATTGTTGAGGTCGGCTTTTGTTTTTGAGTAAACCCAGTTAGTAATATCCCGATGTTTGGTCTGATTATACTTGGGTTACGGTTTTAAGTATTAAAACATTGTTGCATGATAATGCAACATTGTGTTATTATTACTATTGTCTTTGGCACGACACGATATCATTTTCTGTGCAATTTATCCCATAGACAACGCTGAGTCGCGCATCTAATGTAGCTAGGCTATCAACAACCACCATTACATTGTGTAATAGTTAATTTATATTATTTTGTTTATATTGTACATTTCAACTTAAACTTTTCGTTTGTACACCATTTTTAACATTAAAAACGATCAGTATAGCTATTGCGCTGTCTATGTTCCTGTAAAGAAAATTTCGGAACGGTTTTTTACTGTTAATTGGTTATTTTAATAATGTGGATTGTGGTCTGCGCACCAAACAAACTGATGCATTAGGTGCCGAAATAAATATAAAAATCGTATTTAATGCCGTGTTTCATTTATCCTCTGAGCCTAATTTTGTCTCCTCTGAATAATGTTAATGCCGCTAACTACTGTTACATAAGAATTTACCCTATAGACTTGCAAAAGCTGCTTGCAGACATGAAAAAAGACATCCTGGAATCTAGGACCTAGACCTAATTAAAGCATAACATGAATCTGATGATAATTATAACACCAAGTTAAGAATTCGCTACCGAAACAACTTTTTGAACTTGGAGTTTTGGGAATAAATAAGATGATATTTTTTATTCAGTCGCTAAACACTTATGTGAAAGTATTCTACTATTTTGTTCCGTCAGGACCCCATGCTGTCTCCACTCGGAAAAAAATTACGGTCTGACCCTTCTTTTAAATTTCGCGCCAGCAGATGGCGCGAAAGTATTACATCCGGTTTAGTAAACAGTGCTCTGATTGGTCATAGCTTCTTAATGTTATCCAATCGAATGACAGATCGAAATATCCGACGTATCATGACGCGCAAAAATATAATCACGGGCTTTCCGTCGGCCATCTTTGAACATTTTGAAACGCGAAGACAAGTGATTGGTTGATAAAGACGTCATTTCTGTCTTTTGACGGAGTTGCACAAAATAATAAAAATTGGACTCTCACTCACTCATTACGGCTGCCATGTTTTTTCTCATGTGGGGAGTGTGTGTATAAAGTTGTAACATGAAAATTTTACCCCAATAAACTGTAAAAGGTGAGTTATTTGTTGATGTATACTAATTCAACTAGCCAACGCGGAAGTCCGCCCCGCGTCCTCAGTGAAAGTGCATCATGTAACACTGTCGCCTTATTGTGAAATTGCATCGTTTCGAAGCAATCTTGTAGTATGACTCAGTACAAAATTCTCGTAAAAGATTTGTGGTATGCGCGGAATCTTTGTTACCTGATAACAAAAGATACGGTGCTGAACGGATTCATAGTAAATTACGCGTCCGTGCTACATATTTATTTATTTCTTACCATCAGTCGATGACGTTTTGGCGCCATCGACCCATTTAGCGCGGGCGAGACAGACGGGCATGGCTTTCTTCTAAGTTCTATGGCCTTCGCGATTTCGATGACCTTTGTTTGAAAACATTTCAACATGCTGTTATACATAACCACAAATAACTCCTTTGCATTTCAGAAGTAAGGGGTGCACTAAGTGCGTCTTTAGTTGTAGCTAGTGACAATGCGATTGCATGTAATATAAGTGCGAAATAACGCTGCATCACAAGATACTAAACTACTAGCAAAGAACTGGCCAAAGAATTAAGGATGTATTAGTAAAAAAAGCATCCAAAAAAAAGGATCGATTTATATCACACGGCCCAAGGCATTTGAAAAATGGACCTACGATTTCCGAGCACAATGTTGGTGTTCGATAGCGACAGATACTATCAAGGGCAAGATGCGTAAGCACAAGAGAGGGAGCCAGGCGTGCGCCTGCTGGCCTGCCACTTCCAGAGAATCCCAGACTCCACACTCTGTCATCTGATACCTACACACTTCTCATAGGTGAGTTGCAATCATTCTAGTCTCTACATAATAACAATAGTATAAAATTGCAATTTCCAATATCAAGACTACCTCACACAGACTGTCGAGACAAGATTATGGGTAAACAGGTCATTAACCCCTTTGCCCTTCGGACATCCATTCTGACTTTTTGTTTGTTGTTGACTAAAATGAGTAAGGAGCCAGCTGTAGCAAATATCACATACTCTAATTATTTAAAAACGATTAAGTAATCATTTTCACATTAATATGCAATTTATAATTAGTGAAAGTTATTGCTTAAACTAATTGTGGTTTTTTCTGGCATCAAGAGGATATGCAGTGCTCAATAACATTGGAAAGAGACCGTGTCAGTGGGAACAAAATGAAGACTTTAAACCATTATAAGAATCCTTATAAAAAGGTCTGTGCATCTGTTACGTGTATTGATTCATAGGTTGCATATAGTGAAGGAAGCTGTATCTATGAATTAAACGGCAGTGCCATTGTGCTCACTCAAGAACATATTATACGATACAGGAGAAACTGTCTATTCTTCTTTTTCTTGTTGAAAAAGAATAAGGACAATAATTATTTGTGCCTCTTGTGATGTTCAAAATAATGGCTACTATAATTGTTTAGATACAGATTTTTTATGTATGTTGCCTATGAAATATTGCACAATTTATAAGTTTTTCAGTTCCCTACATTGAATGCACATTAGTTTGAGAGTATGTGTTCCTCCTTTGTTCCATTGTTCAGTTGCCTATTATTTATTTACATAATAATTTTATGTATAATATTGCTGTGTGTTTCAAATGGAAGTATCTATTTGTTACTGGTTGAAGTAGAATAGTTCATATCATTTGTGACTTAATAATTTTAGCTTGAGTTTTGATGGGAACTGTTGGACCCAGTATATCAGAGGGCTGTGGAGAAGATCTGTTTAAAAAACTAATAGTATTTCTTTATTATAACATCTTCATTAGAAATAATCAAAATAACAAAATATTATTAGTTGAAAACATTATTCTCTGCCCTTCTTTGTTATATAATGTGCCCCAGTCTTATTTATTTTGCACTATAAAGTAGTTAAGTATGTTTTTGTTTTGATTGTACTACATAGAAGTTCTACTTATTATTTCATTGTAATGCCATTGTTATTTCACCAAAATAATTTTCTTGTTTATATAAAGCGTTTAACATGTTAACAAAATTGGCTACACATAGCCATAGGATTACATTACCATTTATCACATTTTCTCATAGGTGGTATTTAGAGACCAAGGAGCACAAAGTTTGTTAAAGGTGATCCCACAAATTTTGACAAATTAAAACGGCTATTAATGCGTAAAGAATAAAGTTGAAATAGAATGTCTTATCCCCGAAATACGTAATCGCTAAAGAAACCTATCGCAAGTGTGTCGTCAGTCCTGGTCGGCATTTTTTAAATATCTTAGAGTATGTAGTATAATAGGTATTCAGAGTTTCATAAGCAATCTTATCTTCTAAAAGATAACTAATGTTGCTCAATAAAGTAATGTTTATTATATTTGTAGTTCCATAGTTTCATGTAAGAGCCTAATAAATAAATGAAAGTTGTTAATTTCGTTTCAGGAATCTAATCTTAACACTGTCGTCGGTCAACTCTGTACAAGACTTCAAGACATCAAAGATCACGAAAGCGTGGCTCTAGTAGGCATGCCCACGTGTACCTTAGAGCACACTGAGGCTGTTCGACGATATTACGCTGCTTTTCCGGCTCTGAAGAAAGGCCAAGAGTCTCCGCTGCAGTACTACCTGCCGCCGCCAGCGTGGTGTCGCAAAACAGCACCAGAAGCCAACATCAAGATGCAAAGTGAATTGTCAATGTCAAAAGATTGGAATCCTAAAAACAAAAAGTACTCAGGCAAAGAACGTCGTAACTCTTATCACGGTCAAAAGAAGAACAGGAAGCGCTGCAACAGCTACAGCAAATCATTTGAAAGCAAAGAGAGCCTGCCTGAGTGGGTAACATATGAGGGAGTCTGGGACATGGAGACCCAAGACCCAGTCAAGGAGTTCATCCGTGCTATAGCACTCGACGAAGGTTACGGAACTTGCGAGAATACAGTCACTGACGAAATAAAAGAAATAACGCAAGTTAAAATGAAAATGAACGAAAACCTAGTTCCGGACTGGGATGATAGCCTTGATCTAGACAGTGACTGGGTCATCAAGGAAGATCTTAAGCCAAGGGTTCTCACACCAATGGAAGAGGAGTTGTATGCGAAATTCGAGGCTAAGTTTGATCGTAGCATTGAGGCATTGTGGTCTAAGGACCAAAACACGCCAGATGATGAGTACCAAGACCTGCCAATTGATTTTCAAGATTTGCTATCATCGCCTTCCGATCATTTGTTCGCCGATCCGTCCGCCGAGAAGTGCAGCCTAATTTCTCTCACCGAAAGTATATGGTCTAACGACGGCTTTCCCACGGCCGATCGCACCGAGTCGCCTTCAAAAATCGCTGAAGCTCTGCACGACCGCTTCAAGCCGCTGAACTTAACCGACACTACCGAACCTCGAGAAATTGAGTCGTTTTCGCTATATGAGGGTGAGGAGATATACGACGCGCTGTCGACAGTCGCAAAAACGATGCGCTCGTTTACAGCGATCAACCACAGTCGGGATCGCAGCGGCTTCGTGGAGGTGCCTCCGCGTCGTCACAAGGTCGAGCGTATCACTTTCGGAAACGTGGTGGATAAGCAACCGACAGAGGAGCCCGCGCGTTCACCGTCACGCGAGCGCGAGGACTTGCTCACGTCGACGAGGACGCACTTCCGCCCCATCCGCCGCGAGGCCGAGGCCGCCGCGCCGTACGCCGACGGCGACACGTTCGACATCCGCGGCGACCTCGACCCGGTGGAGTTCCACCGCAGCGAGTCCGGCGGCGTGTACCTCGAGAGCTCCCTCGAGCGCTACCTCGAGTACCGCGCCAGCAAGAGCATCGACTACGGGCGACTGAACCTCACGGCGGCGCAGCGCTGCCCCGACCTGGACGACCCGGGCTTCCGCTTGCGCTTCCCGCTGCGGCAGCTGGACGCCGCCGTGCAGACGGAGGAGCCGGCCGCCTGGGCGTGCGCGTGCAGCGGCGCCAAGAAGATGCGGCCCAGCATCTGGGGCGCGCCGGGCGGCTGCGCCCAGTGCGCGCCCCCGCCGCCCGCGCCGCGCGCCCCCAGCGACGAGCTGTCGCGCGAGTGGGAGGAGCTGCTGTCCGACATCAGCGCCGCGCACGCCGAGTACGCGCGCGCCGACGACGTGGAGGAGGCGCTGGTGTCGGCCGAGCGCAAGCGCCGCCACAGCACGGCGCTGCGCGGCGCGGCCGGCGCCAAGGGCCCGCCCTGCCCGCACCCGCACGCTCGCTTCCTGCACTGCTGCGCGCTGCTCGACCGCCCGCTCACGCGCTAGCCGAACGCCCGCTGAGAAATTTATTTTATTGACTTGTACATTTGTGTCGTGAGTCGCCTTTCCGCGAAGACTACGTGAACCCGGTTACGCCCGACCGGCGTATCCTCGTGGATTATTGCTTTCCGTGAGTTGTGTTTTCTATATTCAAATTTTCACCGATAAATTTCTCAGAAATGTTCGACTGTGGCCGAGCGTTCGCTAGATCTGGCCGTTCGAGTGTATCTCGTCGATCGGTCGTTAGAAGGTGTTGGTAGTAGTCGATAGTTATTTACTCCCGTAAGTTGGGCCGTTTTGACACATATTTACTTAACTGTAGTCGTCGTTTATTTATCGGCGTCGTCTTTGCGCGTTATTGAATGAACTCACCTGTAAAACCTAAGAACTTTGAACTGCAATTAGTGTTACGTGAATAATGTGTCAAGGCGATCTTTAATTAGTTATTACCTTACCCAACTATTCTGTACTATACATTTCGCCTCCATTGAACTTATTACTGTCATTTAAAGATATGAATTAATATATGCATATATATGAAATCACATTGAAGTCTGAATCAATGTCGCCACGGAAGCGCATATGGTTCAAGGCTATATTTATCTTTTCAAGTGGCATTAGAATGAAAAGTTAGCAATAAATAAATATAGGATAACATTAGCAAAGCCTTATTTATTGTTCTCCGGGTGGATTAGAAATATGAAGAAGGCTAGACCTGCTAACATATCTTATAATGATTGTAGATATTCTGCGGAGGATTATAATGTAACTTTAGTTCAATGTTTTCTTTGTAGAGATTTCGTATTAATGTAAGAGCACTGTTTGGAATGCTGCCGCTAGCGACATGATCAACACATTTGGTGAAGATTGATTGATGTTAATCTACTGTATTTTTTGTGGTATTCCTATGAAAAGGTATTGTAAAATTCTCAATTATTCCAATTACGAAATTTGATTTGATCTTTTTAACAGAATGCATTAATTTGAGCGCGACAAGAGGGACAGCATTCCATGATCAGCGACTTGGACGATTCTAATATAATTCTTACAATAATATCGTCCCAAAAATTGTTTAAATAAAATATGTTAATATAAAGCATAGGTAGACAGGACATTTTTATTTTTGTTACTATTTTTCGTTTGTTTTCTGGCTATTCAAAATTTCATTAAAATTTTATATAATCTAAAGATAATTGTTCTGTTTTCTGTTAACACAATTTGAGGGTGTACTTTTGAGTTGCGAGGGTTAGATTGAGGCGCATCTCCGGCCAGCGCTGGGTGTATTTTTGGGAGGCAAGTCTCGCAAAAGACGTATCCATTGGTAGACGCTTTGTAAAAGCAAAGCTAGGCTGAGATGTGAGCTCAACTATCTGTGGTTAGAGTACTTTATTCGAAGGCAATGGACGGTTTGTTTTAATGGTTTGTCCAATATGTCTTTAAGTTTTATACGCGGCGATTTTATTGAGTAGCCGCATAATTTAAAGTAGGACAGCGGGACAAAAGCGGGCCGCGCCAGTCGCGCACCGGAGTGCGGACCCAACGCCCGGCTGTAGTAGTAATTAAAGGTGTAAAGTTTTATACGAAGCTGGACAATGGTAGTCGGGGGCAGACGCCCCCTAGTGTGACGATGGAGAAGTGTTGTATTGTGCTCTTTGATAGTAAAGTTCGCCGTCACTGTTTAAATTGCTCGGAGCCGATTCATTTGCATCTTGGATGTTTTCTTTTCAATTTACTAGATGTCTCGCTGCTTGAGACTCATCGCGAGATCATTTTAAACAGTGACTGCACGTAAATTGTAACATAATTTACAGTTCCAAGTATGGATTGTAACAGTTCATATAGGCGTAACTGTATTATAGTTTATGTAAAACATAAGAAGTGTATATGTTATATTTTCGTATATTTTCATTTTATATGGGGTCGTAATTCCCGTCACCGGACGGGTGTTACACACAGTTGAGGCGAGCCACATGAAGGCTGAGGGCTGCGTTTTGCCGTCGCGGCCAACTGTGGACCATCCCGCACATACCTTATTTATTTCATTTAAAAGCCTTGCCTTGTTACAATTTCATATAAAATTTTAATATTCGTGCAAACTTTGCTACTTTATGTCGTGTTTTATATATTTTATTTTTCTGTAGTGTGATTTACTTCTGTTTGTATATATAACACAAAAGAAAAAAATATAAAAAAAAGCCATTGCAGGTAATTGTATTTGAAAGGCTACTATTGTATATATTTAGTATATTGTGTATAAATTAATGTATAGACACTTTCAGTTCTTTACCATTGTTTATCATTATGTTATCTAATTCCGTTGGTAGTTTCATCATCTGAAATTGTTATATCTCATTGTTAACGCTTGTGTGGGAACAGTAGATTAATTCATCTTTAGCGGGTATATTTCAGATTTTGAAGCGATCGCAAGTTGTAATGTAAAGTTTTGTCATCATCATTTGTACGGTTGGGTATCTTTTATAATTCATTACAACTAATAAATTAATTTCATTTTGTGTAATCACATAATCTATGCGCCACTGAATAATTTTGTTTTGTGTCATAATTTCATCATTATAGTGTACTTATTCCATTAAAGATAATTCACTAAAAAAACTTTGAAAAAATTAGAAAAAATACAAAAAAATGTGATAGAGTCAAGTGTGCATATAATATTATGTTTGATTAGTTATAATCTAATGTAATGTGCCTATGCACTTGAATGTCTATTTATCCAGAACATCTGAGTGGATATAGTGAAGTTGTTTTTTGACAACTCAAAATTGTTATAAGTTTGGGATGGTTACGTACGAAGGGACTGTAATGTGAACATCGCACCATCGCAAACTTTTAGATGCGGTATCAATAAAACTGTCAAAATACGTACTTTATCACTCTCACGACATTGGCAGTCGATTGATAAATGATCGCGAACCTCTAGAATCATTTGCATTCATTTTCTGGCAGATTGCGTTGCAGATGTCTTTAATTGATCCTAGAGTAACGTGCTAGTCCCTAAGATCACAATTTCGCAATGTCTGTCACGCATTACCCGTGGCTAGAGCTTTCCAGTAACATTGTGTATTTCAATATTTATGACACATCTTTCGCGACATCTTTAAATAGATTTATGTTGAGTTGGGAGCAACACATTCTAAACTAACTTTCTAGACACATAGCTAATGAGCACAAGTAATAATAAAAAAAATAATAAAAAAAATTGGAAATGTAGTGATTTTTTGATAACTTGTTATTGCTCTCTTCTCGTACAAGTGAGCTTGTAACCGATCGCTAATGGGCCTTGGTTACATGCATATTTGTTACACTTCATATCAGATTATATCATTTATTTCTGTTTTGGAATTTCTTAAAATCATTAGAGATTAAAAAGTATCTTATATACCGGGGTAGGAGCCGTATACAAGGGATTTCACATCTTATGTTGGTGCCAAATATTTCTGCTTTCTTTGGGATTGTCTATTTATTTAGTGTTCTGTATTTATCGAAGAACTGTTTCAGATTTAAAAATACTAACTAAAATTAGTTGGTCGTCTTTGTTTTGTTTCTTGTAAATCGCATAAAGATTTCGTTAACTTGTTCTAACTTTGTCTCTGAATTTAATAATAGGTTTTGAATAATTTGGCACTAATTTTTTCAAAAATAACCATATTTGTAACCATTTTAATTTAATTTGAAATGTATTTTCAGAATTCAAATTGTTTAATTGTTGGAAGTGGTTATCCCTGAAGATAGTTACCATGTCTTATGTTAGGTTGTGCTCACTACTCTGGTTCTTGCCACCTATGGGAAGAAAATAAAAATAAACAATCCACATTACGTTTTTTATTTTAGTCATAATACTCATAATCCAAAACCTCCTTGCAATCATCAGCCTTTGCCGAGATCAGGATTAGGGAATGTTGAATAATGTGTAAGTGAATAAAAAAATGTTGAATAGAGATGTAAACTTTGCAAAATGGCTCGTGTATTGACCAAGAAGATTGTTTCTTCCTTAAATCGTGAACCCAAATATATCTTTTTTTTGTTCTGCCTTTTCTTATTTATTCCTATTCTGCTTCACAAATAAGCGAGATGAAAACAATATCCAAATATTTCTTTCCGTCCTCTAAGATCCAAATAAACCATCCTTGTCATGTAAAAGATTATAGTAAAGTGAACCTGCTGTAGGCGCAGTCAAGAGAATTCTCGTGAATTCGCAGGTCTTCGTGCAACGAAGCGAAATTGGCACTTTAATTCTGCGGCAATGTAAATTGAGCCTTCGGGTCGTGTTCTAGAACTCTACTCAATCAATGCTGAAGTCAGGACTTGAGTATGATTTCTAGTGCTTGAAATCATACTCAAGTCCTGACTTAAGCATTGAGTAGAGTTCTGGAATACGAACCTAAGAGTGTGTACAGGTCTGGTGATCGCCCTGCACGCGAACAGATCGCTTGATTGTCGTTGATTTTTTCTTTTGTTTCTAATTTATTATAAACTTATATTAGGTACGTGTAGTGTAATGGGAATTTCAGGAAAAATATTCCTGTTTACGATGAATGTGAACTAGGTGGCGAGTTAGGGGTGATTTGGATAGGTAGTTCTTTATTTTTTGGTCGTTGTTAAAATAGTTTTGTATTTTAAGTTTAAAAGTTTTGGATAAAGAAATTCGAATCGTGAAGAATTAGAATAACAATAAAAATAGTGGGCGAAGTCGCCACTCAACTCAAAAGCCAAACTTGACTGGCGGAGTCCTCGCTCCTTTTCCCACGTGTGAGGTGAAGCGAGAGAACGCTATACAAAAACCTCCGTTTATACTTTCATCGGTTGAAATGCACGCGGCACTCCGAGGCGGACGACTCGCTGGCCGTCGAAATAACGCTCAAGCTTATCGACAGAAATAATAACTCCACGGACTCTCACAGTGATACGAACTTTTGTGATTTGTGCGTCGAACAGTTAGTGAGTTACCGGAACTAGGACATTGATTTCGGTCTCAGTGCCTTTTAATTAATCCTACGTGCTGAGTCGGTGAGTGTTTTTTATTTACTTACATTTTTATTTAAGTAAATTGCTACCCAGAGGTTGATTTTTCAAAAACCCAGTTATATGTATGGACATATAACACTTATATGATCCTCAAATTCTAAGAAAACTTGTATTTGTTGTGTTATTTTTAGCACCGGCATTTCAATTCTAGGGCAGGATTGTTTTCTAAGGGTCGTATTCTAGAACTCTACTCAATGCTCAAGTCAGGATTTGAGTATGGTTTAAAGCACTTGATATCATACTCAAGTCCCTTGCTGTTAGGGTCGTATTTCCAGTGCTTGTGTTTCCAGTGCAATCCTGACTTGAGCATTGAATAGAGTTCTAGAATACGACCCTAAGTCTACGTAATTATATGTATAGGTATCCATAGAAAGAAAATCTGTGTTATATATGTAATTGGTACATCAACCAAGCTTGGTACATACAATGTGGCGTAAAGTATCATATATTATCAAAAATTTTTTTTGTTTGCTTTTTAAATTTTTAGGTTCTCTCCTCTTTAGGCAGTCTAGTAACAGAAAGTTTGATCTCAGGCCATGCCAGTTCCATTAGCCGTTATTTTTGCACGGACTTCTATATTTTCGAAAGGAACCGCTAATCAATCTTAACATCACTCGGGTGTCTATTTATTAGAAATAAAACCGTAGTGTGCAGAAAGTAAGGCGTGTAATTCAAAATGAATGTGATTAATCAATAAATACTGATTAAGTGCTAAAAATGAAAAATACATACCTTTTACGGTCTGTGAAGTCCGCAAGTAGGGACTCATATGAAGTCATATGAGTGATAATTAAATAGGACTTTCTTACTTTACTTTTAGGGTATTAAAGCTTAATACCTTAACTACCAAAGTTATGTGTTAAGTAGATAATAAGGTTTATACCTGTCTGCACTATGGGATTAAGCAAATCCATAACATAATAATGTTTTAGATAATTACATTAATGACCTGTTTTCAAACTAGGGGATTATTTGTACGAAGAGTACCCGAGTAACGAAAGTACCTCCAAGGGTACGTCTCAGCATAGCCAAATCAGAACCAATTTAAAAAATTTTGTTTCATAAATTCAATCCTACCTGGATCTCCTGGATTAAGCCGTCAAAAGTAACAGTAACATCGCTAAAATTCTTTCTTCCGTTCCAAATATGAATGAATGAATTTAAATATTATTTTCAAAGAACTTATTGCCCGTCGTAGTCACTTGGTATTTTTCCTTTTTCCTTTACGCGTTACTTGTATCTTCGTTATCGTATTTTTGCATTTGAGAAATGCACAGGCCTTCACGTCATTTCAGTTCGATACCTACTCGTTAGTTTCGGTGATTGTTTGTTTCTTTCGTAGTCGTCTTAGAAAAAAGGTCATTTAAAGAGTCGTTGAAAATTCTCTGTTAATATTTTGTTCTTGACGTGCATAAAGATGGAAAGAGTAAGTAGACTTAAGGGACATGTACATTGGTATTTTTTTAACTGGGATAGTATGGGGAAATCCGAAACCATAGGAGACACAGGGAAACTGGGACTAAATGCTGATAAGCATTAAAAAAATACAATTATATACATATATTTTGTGTGAAAAAATATTTTATTAAATTTGACCGACTTCATCTGTCCCGATTTTCTTTCAATAAAATTAGTGATGATTCTTACATGAAACTGAGTCGATCAGTACAAAAAAAATCAATTTTATTCATTTTATGGACAACTCGCGCTTGACCAAAAAATTTACTATGCTAAGATTATTTTCACAAAAAAAGATAGAATGGTTCCCAAGACAGTTTCCCTGTATCTCCTATAGCTTCGGATTTCCCCATACTGTCCCTTTAAAAAAAACACTGTACCTATACACATATATACAGTCAATGAAAGCCAAACAGAAAATTTGTAGGCTAACGAGAGAGCGATCAATTTTATTTTACCCAGTATTTTAATTTTAACTCGCGTCTGACCAAAAAAATTTACTGTGCTAACATTATTTTCACAAAAAAGTTTAATGGTTCCTGAGATAGTTTTCCTGTATCTCCTATAGTCTTCGGATTTCTTAAAAATTACGTCACACGATCACCTCCACAGGCGCTAGAAGACCATCGCAAGCCTTGTAAAGCGCTTGTAGATAAAAGTTTTATTACCCGTGAGTTGGTGAGTGGTTTATTCGCATCTGTAGATATAGAATTATGGTTTCAGGGGTGAACCTTGCAAATCCAGTCGGCAACAGCCAAGGTAAACCTATCTAGAACAAGGGCTAAGACCCGTTTAACAAAACCGTACCCACGTTTTAACTAGTTAACTTTGTTTTATTACTATTCCCACGGGATTGGATACATCAGTTATTGGCTATAAATAAATAATTTTAAATTGGCAATTTGTCCTTTTATAGGTTTTTCTTTAGTTATCTACTTTTTATTTCGTACCATTTCGAAACAAAAATAAATTATTCGAAACGTTACCGACTTAACTGTCTTTTGTTGAATTCGCTGATTTGCGTCATTTACAATAATAATAATTAGCCTATATATAGTCCCACTGCCGGGCACAGACTTCCTCTCACAATGAAAGAGCTTGGGCTGTAATTCCCACGCGAGCCCAACCTGCGGTTTGAAAACTTCACTCGAATTGCGTTGTGTGTACGGTTCATCACGATGTTTTTCTTCACCGAAAAGCTCATGATAAATTCCAAATTACGTTACGCGTCGTAAAGACACACGGTGTCCTTAAAGGTTTTGGTACTATAGTAGAGATCCCTATAATGTAGTAGAGATGGTAGAGTCCCAGAATCACACGATGTCTCTAACCCGCAGGTGAGTTTTCATCCACCATTTAAAAAAACTTAGCTTACAAAAAAACATATTTTTTGCCATAACCATTAGGGGCACCGAGTGTTTCTAGAACACGTGACGTGTTAAATTTCGCACATAAAATTTTGAAAAACTCAGAGGTGTAAGCCCGGATTCGAACCCACGACCGTCAATTTTTTTACAATATTACATTTACAATAAAATTTGAAATTTATAACTGCCTCAGTGGACGAACGGTTACCATGACTGCCGGACTGCCAAGCAGAGGTCCCAAGTTCGATTCCCGGGCCGGAAGAAATATTTGTATGGCCTTCATTTATTTCTCTCGTGAATTTGGGTGTAATTTGTGGTTGTCTACGTGTGTGCCCATGGCACCCGCGACTCAGGGTTTCCCTGGTGCGGGGCTATGTTATGTGTGTGCGTTATTATTATTCATGGAATGCGGTTCTTTTTCAATGGTGATGATTAAGCAATTTCCCACGCTCTTGCGCCTTACATCCTCTGGTGAAGTTACAGGCTTGCCAGTTTTTGTCTCAGGGTGATAGGCGCAGTGACAGTGCCTCTCAGATTTTTACAATTGCAACTGTTATGGACAGACGTGTCGCTTACCACCAGGTTTGGAAAAATCATGGTTTTTTTTTTGAAAAAATTAAATAAAGCACGATTTTTTGAAAAATCTTAATTAATCACGATTCTTTTTATTTTTTCGTTTTATCATACAGTTTAACTATATTTTTGCGTAAAATGTAGCAAAAAAAAAAGCAAGTTAGTTTTTTGTTTAAGTATTATAATAATGATATTGATTTCTTAGATGCAAAAAGACCCTAGTGTTTAAAATATAATTGTCTGACTTTATATTGATTTCTGTGAAAGAAAATAAAATTAAACACATTTTATTAAATCACTGATTTTTATTGAAAAAAATCATTTGATTTAAATCAAAATTATTTAATCGTGCCAACCTTGCTTACCACCAGGCCCACGACTTGTTCGTCCCGTCACTTGATATTATAAAAAAAAGTTATTTTTCTAATAACTTTCTTTTCTCACAATAGAAAAGCATTAAAATACTAGCACAAATCACGTCTTATTAGTGGGATAGATCGGCCGATAGCCACAAACAAGCAGCTCGAAAAACTTTAAGTTCTTACCGCAACTATTGCGATGTTTACTTTAAAAAAATATAAAGTAGCCATTTTAACGATTCACGGTCTTTACCATTAATAAACAAATAGAGGTACGGGTAGCACAAGTCAGGGCTTATTAGCGAGCTAGATTGAGCGATAGCCACAAAAGTCCACCCACCACCCGCCGCGGCCACGGCTGGTAATTACCCCCATTGTCCACACCATGCCATAAACACGACGTGTGCACAACTGCGCAGATCATACTTAGATAATGTACATTCAGTATTTTTATTTGTGAACTGAAGATTTACCATCGATTGTGAACGTCGCAAACTTTATATTTATAACTACGTATTACGCACCTACGTGGGTATGTACCACATACGTACATGTACTTCTACAATGCATAATGCATTGTTAGTATTTGGTTCTCTAGGCTTTCAGTATGTTGAGAAGGACCGAGAACTGCAGACCGTCAAGAAAAGGAAAGTTGCGTATCTTGGACACGTTCTACGGCATGCAAAGTACCGACTTCTCGAACTGATAATGATGGCCAAGATCGAGGGTAAACGGCGTACTGGAAGAAGTTGTGGTTGCGCAACGGAATGGACCAATATTGCCAGCGTAGAACATCTGTTTCGCTTGGCACAGAACAGGGAAGCGTTCTCCAAGCTGACGGCCAGCCTCCAGTACTGGAGAGGCACTACATGATGTTGATGGTTCTCTAGGTTCTAAATGAAATTATTTAGGTAAGAATACATTAAAAAAAAAACAAAATCAGTACGGAAAAAAATTGAATTCGAGCTGAGGAAAAATTGGATTCGACTCATTAAATTCAACTTTTGAATTAAACTCTCAAGGAAACCTTTTACTTCGTATTTTCTTGCTTAAACTTAAGCAAAGTTCGTTCTGTTGCTTAGTCTCAAGTTCGTTTTATAAATTTCAGCATTAGAAATCACTACACAAATATAATTAATGTAATTATAATTAAATAAAAATAAACGGTTTCTTCCGATTTAGGTCAAATATATCACGAGTTTCATCCAAGCGGCATCGAGTGCTC